ATCATGCACAACTACTAAATGTATCAAAAACCTAAACATAAAACTCAAACAATAAGAATCTTAGAAAATGCAGGAAACACCCCCACAGAATTGGAATAGGCAACAAATTCCTGATCAAAACCCCAAAAGCCCATGCCGTAAGAGATAAGATAGACAAATGGGACCACATAAAACTGAAAAGCCTCTGCAAAGCAAAAGAAACCATCAAGAATGTGGGAAGACAGCCCACAGAATGGGGGAAAAAAATTGCCAACTGTATATCTGACAAAGTTCTAACATCCACCATCTACAAGGAACTCAAATATTCCAAAAGGAAAAGAAAACCAAGCAGAACCATTACAAAATGGACAAACGATATGAATAGGCACCTCTCAAAAGAAAACATACGAGCAGCCAATAGATACATGAAAAAATACTCAGCCTTACTAATCATCAAATAAATGCAGATGAAAACCACACTAAGATACCGCCTAACTCCAGTCAGGATGGCCATCGTCAATGATAACTCAAAAAACAACAGATGCTGGAGAGGACCTGGAGAAAAGGGAACGCATCTACACTGTTGGTGGGAGTGTAAACTAGTACAACCTCTGTGGAAAACAGTATGGCGATTCATAAAAGATCTAGAAATCAAACTTCCATATGATCCAACAATCCCCCTTCTGGAAATATATCCAGAGGAACTCAAATAATTCTAGGAAAAAGATACTTGCACACACATGTTTATTGCAGCATTTATTCGCAATAGCAAAAACATGGGACCAACTGTGCTGCCCACTGAAAGTAGACTGGCTTTTAAAAAATGCAGTACAAATACATGATGGAGAATTACGCAGCCACAAAGAAGGACAAAACTATGGAATTCGCAGCAACTTGGATGGATTTAGAGTCTATTAAACTAAGTGATCTAACATAGAAACAAAAAACCTAGTAGCACATGTTCTCACTCATAAGTGGACCCTAAACATTAGTCATAATACTATAATAAAGGTACTGTCAGTAATGGGAAACTGCCGGGGTGGGGGGACATAATATCAAATAAGGGTACCTGATCTCAAACCAGGCAAATTGGTGGCCAAAAGGAAGCCCAAACTTTACCTGTACGATGACCACTTATCTACTTAATCCTTAATTATACCCCACATCTTCAAAATAAAATAAAAAATTTAAAAAGAAACAAAATACTTGCCCATTTTAAAACAAATAAAATAAAATAAAGCACTGTTACAGATATTAGGTCACCTGATATGAATATATTATATCTTGAAAGACTTTTAGTAAGCACATAGTGTTATTTTGCTTGAGTTGGTATGCATATATAAAGGTTGCTCACAACTTACTTAGGAAGTTATTACAATAACCTGGACATCTAGCCTACAGTGATTATAATAAAAATGGAAAAGAAGAAATTACTTTGACAAGTATGGATTGCTGTGGAAAGTACTGGGTTTTAAATGTCTAGGGGAACAATGTATGATAAGTTACTAGCCAAGTTTTTAAACATATTTATTTAACTATAGGGATAGCATAAAGATAAACTTCAAATATTATGAGAAACCAAGTATTCTGTATTTTTTCACTTTGAAATTTCAGTGTGCTGCTTTTTAACCAAAAATAAATGTCTTAAACATTTTTGTATTTTACAGTCATTCTAAATATTTAGAATCTTCTCCACTATTTAGTTCCAGATAAGTTTGGACTATAGTTGGCATTTTAAATAGAGTTTAAGATGTGTCCTACCACTTGTATGGAAGAAATTACAAGCACCAATGCAATGGCGTATGCAGAGAACTTGAGTGTATCACTGAGAACATTTATCACCTATAATTTGTATAATTTCTTAGATGTGTTCTTGTGATCCTTTAAATAGTAATGAGAAGATTTAAGGAAGTATATATTGCATAAGTGAGATTATGAGAAGATATGGCCCAGAAATTTCTTTAAAGCTGCCTATCATTGCTTTAGGACTATTTCTTTTAAGCTTTGGAACTTGATCATCCTCCCCCCCAAAACATTCTATATCTGCACTTAGCAGTGGGTGGTGGATATTATATTTTCAAAGTCATAAAGCATGGGAGAAAACAAATAGCAATATCTGCTCTGTGCTATGTGTCAGCAGGCCTGTCTGGATCATTACGGTGATGTCTTTCCTCCCTAAATGATTTTTACAAATATAGTGATGAAGACTGATTTCTGTTATCTTTCTTCAATGGATCATAAGTTGAACTAGCACTATATTTTTTCCTGAAAATATGCACAGTTGTGACATGGTATTTAATACTCCTAAGCTTACTGCTGCCAAAATAAACACAGCTGTAAGAAATGATGACCCTCTCATCTTCGTAACAATGAAATGACTTCCTAATGTGCTTCCCTAACTCTGAACGTTAAGTTAATATTCCCCTGGATTTCTAAGCCCCATCGTTTCCCCTGCGGAAACCCCGTGAAGAATACAGCTTTTGACCAAATGACAGAACATAGAGGATGAAATTAGTTGCATTAAATTAGAATATGACAAAAAGCCTTTCTAAATCTTTGTCACAATGCGACATTCAAGCAACATTAAACCAAACAGTTTAAGTAGATCAAGGAAGAGAATTAATATTTTGAAAAGAAACTTTGTGAACTAGATCACTTGCAAATTTGAAAGGGTCATTGATAGATAGCATGTGAGCTATTGCTTAGGGATCCTCCTCTACCAACATATGTGCAGTCTCTTCTTGTTTAATCTTTGGATATGAAATTAACTATTACAATGTTGTTTTTTGGGAGGCTTTCTTATTCTTTTCATAAAAGCAAGTTTCCATGCTAACAGCTGCATTCAAGAGAATGGTGGAGAAGAGTATAAAGAATAAGATTCACATTCTGGGTAGAGCGATATGTGATAAAGCAAAAACAATAAAATGATAATGGTATAATAAAAAAAGATTCACATTCCTGTGCAGTGTTTCTTGTTTATCTAAGTATATGTATTTAAACAACATTTTGTGAATTAGTGTGAAAATAAATTGTCTTCTAAAAAGAGAAGACAAAACCGTTCCTTTATTTCGCTCATAACTTGGAATTACTTTGTTTTATTTTCTTTTTCCCAAGAAAGACCTGATTTTTTTGAAGTGTAATTCTACCATGTTGGGTTATGTGAAAATCAAAGCTTCTGATAGGGTTAATCTAGCTACATATAAGTCCATGTTGGGTACGATTATGATCTTGATCTTTGATTAGATCTGAGCTAGTAATATCTTGTGATTAATCAAAATGGGTTGCACTGCATGTAGTTCAAGTCATCTTCACAAATGGGCTAGAGAATCAGAGTTCTTTTGAATATTTGTTTTAATACCATCAAGGATAAAATAGCTTTGTTTTGTGCTTTTTTGGTCTTAATTTTCACTTTTGTACATTAAATCAGATTGAATTCACCAAAAAAATGACAAGGAAGAAATTTTGGAGTACAGTTTTTCTGGGAATCCAGAGCAGAAAAGAAGAAACTTGTTTTTTAACTGATGGTATTTTAAAAGATGCTCTGTATGTTTTTCAAAAAATAGTAAAATCTCACAAATAATTCTATTCAGTTTGAATAAAAAACTTTATAAAAGAATATGTAAAAAAAACACATCAGGGAAATAATGCTGAGGTTGTTATTGTTCTCAACAACATAAAAGATTTTTCAAGATGGTCCTTTTCTTAGTATGCAATTCCAGTTTAATCGACATCTGATAACAAAGAGTTTGACATTGGCAACTAAACTATCTGACATCTAACACCCAGGGCAAAGGAAGAACTCTCAGCTCTCAGATTTACATGACCAGTGTTTACTGAATGCATCTGTCAGCACAGGCAGTGAGGTTTTTTTCCTACATTCACAGGTTGACTGACTAATGTTCCTGAAGCTGTCAAGAGTGCAGCTGTGGGGCTCCAAAGCTTGCATCCTGGTGCCCTGCTTGCCCTTAAGTAGTTTCATGACTTTGAAATTTGTTGACCTCTTAGGCCTCGAGAATCTTTACCTGTAAATATGAAGGGTTGCACTAAAGCCTTCAATGTGCCATCTAGTCTTAAACTTTGTGATCAAGCAAATCAGTGAAAAATTGTACAATACACATTGTAATATGACTTGCATATCCCAAAGTACTCACCTCCATTTACTATTTTAAGTACACGTAAGTGGTTTTAAACACTTCAAATCCCATAATGCATCATTCTACTAAAACTTTAATGTATAATTGAAGATTTTGTAAGATTTAAAACACTCATAGTCTTTATATATGGAAAGACTGAAATGCCTATATGTAAGTCGGGGTTTAAAATGAGGTGAGGTTAGTTTGGGTCTACACGTATAAAAACACCCAACTAATGGGAAACAAAATAATCAGTAATTGAAATATGTTGTTTACATAATTTTCAACAAGCAGCTTGATTAGAACTTAGATTTGGCTTGTCCCATTGCATATCACCAGACATATAGTATTTAACCAAAACTATTAGACAAAACAAAGTTTAGATCTGATTGACTAAATTTATCAGGCAGTATTTCTAACATGACTTGTGAAAGACCAATAAAATCAGGCAGCTGATCATTCGTTTTTTTTATCAGCAATGTACCAAACTGACAATTTCACAGAACAAATTATATTAGTTTATTTAGTTTTCTAGAAATCTCTTTAGTCATAGTCTCTTTATGTTTACAAGTACCTACTTATGATGATGGGAAACCAAACATTCAATAAATAAAATAGGTTGTGATTTAATGGTCAAGCAGCCATTCAGGTGTGTAAGACACAATTTCTTCAAAAAGTTGCTCTTCAAAAAGTTGTGAACTGAACTGTCAACCCCAGAACCATACATACTGGAGAAGCTCAGTAAACACATCTATGATTATATATGAATCATTGACTATGAGAATGGAAAGAAGCTGTGGATTCATGCAATCCACTTCTAGACTGTATAAATAACCTACATATGTTAAAAAAAGAATGACCTTGTTTTTTATCTTTTTTTCCATATAGGAGACCTGGTGAGCCTCCCTTGATAATAGGTTGGCTTCCTTATCTTGGAGTGGCCATAGAATTCCAAAAACATCCCTTAGATTACATAAAAACTCTTCAAAAGCAACATGGTGACATTTTCACTGTTCTTCTTGGGGGTAAGAAGCTCTTTTATAAGTACCTTATATACATCATAATTTCTCTCTTGTTTAATGTCTTTGTATTTTTATCTAGGCAAAATGTGGAGTATTTGCATGTTTTTGTCTTATTTCTATAGCTAATACAAAAGAAAATCATGTTTTTGAGTACAGTAGCCTTCACATTTAAAAACAAATTACAGAAACCTCTTCATGGTACCCAGGGAATCCCACTCTTCTGCCATCATCTGTCACTTTGGTTTGATTTGGCTTGGTTTTAAGAATAGTATAAACATAATTAAAAGCTAGAATGTATTTTTTCAATTAATGCCCTTTCATTTGTAAGTAATTTTAGAAAATTTAGCAGATAGCGTAGAAATTCCCATACACTCCCCCTCTGCCCTGATCACTATTTCCTCAGTTGTTAAGATAGTTAACATCTTATATCACTGTGGTATATTTGTTACAGCTAATGAGCCAATATCGATATATTATTAAAAGTCTATGGTTTACATTAGAGTCTACTCTTTGTGTTGTACAGCTCTTAGGTTTTTAAAATAATGTATAATGGCCAGTTACAGTGGCTCACACCTGTAACCTCAGCACTTCGAGAAGCTGAGGCGAGAGGATTGCCTGAGCTCAGGAGTTTGAGACCTGGGCAAAATAGCAAGACCTTGTCTCTACAATAAATTAAAAAAAAAATTAACTGGGTATGATGGCACGTTCCTATAATCCCAGTTACTTAGAAGACTGAGGTGGAAGGATCACCTAAGTTTAGCACGTTGAGGCTGCAGTGGCGGTGATTGTATTCCTGTACTCCAGCTTGGGTGACAGAATGAGACCTGACTAAAAAATAAAAAAATTTACAAAAAGGTATAATGACATATATCCACTAATACAATATCATATAGAATAATTTACTGCCCTAAGAATCCTCTGAACTTTATATGTTCCTTCTTTCTCTGCCACTGAGTCTCTTGTAACCACTGGTCTAGAATTCACTTTTCATTTTAAAATGTTAATCATGCTTCAAATTTTAATGAAATATTTACCCCCAAAAAACCTCTAAATGAACAAAAAATAGTGACATTACTACACACCCTAAACATCCTAGAGTTAGGAGGAGAAGCTGGAATGTTCCTAGCACACCCTTTTTTGAGGCCCAAGCGATCCAGCTTTATAGGCCATCTATTACTGAGTAGAAATCCCCCTAAAATTTAATGGGTTAAAACAACAACTGGTCTCCCCCGGGTCACTTGTGTGACTTGAGTCATCTGATTTTTGAATGGGGCCGGATGATCCAAGATGGTCTCATCACACACCTGGCTGGGCCTCCTTATCTGCATAGTCTTTCAATTTCTGGAAAAGGTACCTACATGGCAGTTAGTGTTTCCAAGAGAGTGAAAGGAAAAGCCACAAGGTCTCTTGAGGTTTAGCCTAAGATGTTACAAAACCTCACTTACACCACATTCTATTAGTAAGAACAAGTCACAGTGCAGTCCAGATTCAAGGGCAGGGAAGAGACTCTACCTCTTCCTTGGGGAGTGGCAGAATACACTGCATGGGAGCACATGTAGAGAGATGCAAGAAATTCATTGTAGCCATCTTTGCACACAAACTTCCACATCAGTTTATGGTCTGGGCTAGCTCTTCCCTTTTTTTGCTTTTGTCTGTCCTTCTATGCCCGGAAGGATGATCTCTACAGACTAGTTTACCCATACTCCTTTGCTCTCTGATTTCTGGTTGGCTATTGCCAGTGAGAGAGCAGGAAGGGGCTGGTTCTAATTCTCTGGCTCTCACTAGGCTCTGGTAACACAGTTCACTCTCCTTCCCTCATAAGGTCATTGAAGACATCAGGTATAATCTCTCTTAGATCCCCACAATTTCAAAGAATGTTCAATAAAACCCATATTCCTGTCCCTATGAACCTTTCTTCCCGCCTTCTCTGGCTAGTGCGTCATGGTTCATTTCTCTCACACATGTCTTCATTTCTTTCTTTCTTGAATTATTATTCTAGCTTATAATCATGCTTCAGCTTTTATATTCTCCTCTAGTTACTTTCCTCTTTTTTTCCTCATCTGTACCCAAATTTTTCAAGAAAGCCTACATTTGCTGTCTCTAGTTGCTTATCTTCTAGAGTTCTCCTAACCATAACCAGCCTTTTGCCTTTCTGAGGTCATTCACTGGTCCACCTAACTTGATCCCTCTACTGAGTTTGACAACGCTGATCCCTTGTTCGTTCCTGAAGTACTCTACTACTCTCTTGACACTGCCCCATCTGATTCTTTCTTCAACTCTCAGTAGTCCTTATAGATTATTTTTATGCATGCCTCTTTCTTAACTCTAATCAACATTGGAACTTTATGTTCTATTCCTAAGCAACCAGTAATTTTTCTGCCTGTAACTACTTTGCCAATGGTTAGAGGCAACTTTTGGTACATACAGTGACTTGATTTCTGTGCTACCATTTTTTTTTTTTTTTTTTTTTGTGAGTTGGAGTCTCACTCTGTTGCCCAGACTGGAGTGCAGTAGCCACTCCCGGCCACCGCAGCCTCGACCTGCTGACTCCGGCGATCCTTCCGCCTCAGCCTTCCAAGTAGCTGGAACTGCAGGCGCGCCCTACCACACCCGGCTCATTTTTGATTTATTGTAGAGAAGAGGTCTCGCCAAGTTGCCCAGGTGGGTCTCGAACCCGCGGGCTCAGGCAATCCACTCACCTCTGCCTCCCTAGACGCAGGATTACAGGCTGAGCCACTGAGCCTGGCTTGAGCTACCACTTTAATGTAATATTTGAGAAAGAAAAAAATCCAGTTGGATGAAATCATCAGCATGACAGGTCTCCCATGAAGAGACAGTATTTGTTTCATCACTACTTACTCCCTTTGCCTAGCCCTGGCAAATCTCTTCCAACAATAATTGTATGCACTTTGATTTTAGAAAAATGGAAATGAAAACAAACAAGCAAACAAACAAACACATGTCTTAGAAATAGAGGTTTTGCAGTATTTAACGTAATCCCCTCAGGGATCCCCAAGGTTGGGTCTCCACCTCTCTCTCTATCCCAGTCTCTTGTTACTACTTGCCTTGTGCTTAATGCACCATTAATGCACCATGTTGTCTGACTTTTTTCTCATACGTTGTGCCCTTTTGCGCTTCTGGTTTTTTTCTTGCTGTTTTTTCTTCCGGAATATTGTTCTTCACCTGACTGACATGGATTCATCTTTTGAGACCATAGTCACACAGTACTTTCTCTGATAAACCTTTGTTGATCACCTCCTCCTATATTTGGTACCTTTTCTCTGGGGTCCAATTATTCCTAGTATCACTTCTGTCAGCGTATTTAATAAATTGTGAATTTATTGCTAATTCACTTGTCTGTCTCCCTTCATTATTCTGTTAGCTCCTCTATTACCAGCAGTTAGTCTAGAGCTCAGCACTCATTGATTGACGACAAATATCTGATGGGAAAACACCTAATTCTTCGGAGCTGATGATATATTAGAATAGCATGCAAATAAAGACCAGAATTGGTGCTTCTCTTCTAAGTGAGTCTTGGGCTTCATGATACCAAAACTATATCCTTCACTTTAAAAAAATTTCTTTCTACTCTAAACAATGAACAGTCATTTCTAAAGAGTAGATGATTGCAATTTTTAGTTTTCAATACGTTGTTCAAAAATAACCTAAGATGATAAGCAGAAACTTGTGGCAAATTTAAATAATTTTACTCACTTTCCAAAAAATGATCCATTTCTGCTGGCACTTGATGTCCTAATCTTAGATACTGAGAACCTTGCTGGATTCTAAATGGCTAAATAATTTGACCAAGGTTATGTTGTTTAAGTCAACAGTAGACAACCATAGTTGAATGTACACTATATTTTCCTTTCATTTCTCACTAGAGTTTGAATAAATTCCTGTCAAGAAATCCTGTTAATGTATATGGTCTAATGATCAGTTTGCAAAGTAGCTCATTTAGAAAATGTGAAATGAAGAACAAAGTCTTCCACTCTTGTCTCATAATGTGATTTCAGGGAGTGTATGTTCTTGCATGATGAGCAAATGATTGTCATACCCAAAAGTCTCAAGGGACACAGATGTCATCTTAATAAAGAAATTAAAAGGTACATCTTTTCATGAGAAACCATGTAAATTCGTGACCTGTCGCAGAAAATAGTTCTCTAATTGGTTTTGTGTGGTGGTGCAGTGGAATCGTTTTCCCTAGATGTCACCCCAGCAAAGCACCACTGTACATCATTGTCAGCAGCTAGTGAAATCTCCCTAATAAGAGAGGGGTATGTACATATGATCATCTTCATAAAGTAGAAAGTTAGCTCACATTTCACTCTCCCAACTGATATTTTCAGCTTGAGATTTTTTAAAAACTCCACTAAAAATCCAGCTAAACACAGAGATTAGAGGCTTCTAATTATGGGACTTTATAAAATTCATAGTTGTTTCATATTTTTTTGACTGGGCATTTCTATTCTAAGCAGCACAATAGTTGTCCTGAATTTCCATGGCTGTGTCTCTATATCACTCCAAGTATCAGAAATAAAAAGAAAACATTAACATTAAATTCATAATGATTCAGATGTTAAATTTCTTGTGTATAAGACATCAGGGTAAATGACAACACTTTAAAAAATACATTTACAGACATACTTTTAATCATGTAGCTTTACCTTCCTAAAGAAGCAAATTTGAAGGAAGTGAAAAGGGTATTGAGTTGGTAAATGATCATGTGTAGGTTATACAGGAACACTCGTGTTAATACTGTAAAGCCTAGTCAGGTCCTAAAAAGGGAAGAGAATGAAATGATTGGCAAGGAAGACATCAAAAATTTTGATCTCATTTCAAATGTACTGCCTCAAGAATATCTCATATTGTTGTCTTGTTTTGTTTTGTTTGGGGGGTTGCTGGATTTTTTTTGTTTTTGCAGATGTAGGCTCCATTTTTACACTTATATTATAGACAAATGCAAACTCTGAAATTCTTTAAATCAATATTTCATATTAAGTGCTGACAGAATTTTCTCTTTGAAAAATATTGCAAAGGATGTTGTTTCTACCTTGTGATCTTTGTGATCTAGGTAACATGCCTGCTGACAGTGGGCATTCATTTACATAAAATCACACTGGAACAAAAGTTAATTTTGGTCCAAGAATATATGACATTCAGAATACCTTTTCAGGAGATTTCCTTTGTTAAGAAATTTAAATTCATTTTATGAATGTATATGAGTTTTCCTAAATGTCTGATTAAAGATCACAAAGAAACTCTGGTTTTGCATCTCACATTAGCAGATGGTGGACAGATGGTTTAAATTAATATTAATTTTGGAAAACTTAGCTTAAATTGTTTATACTGAAGATTAAAAGTTGGAAAGCCAGCTAACATCTCCAGGGTTATTAGTACTTCCAAACCCACTTGAAAAGTAAAATCCAGAAAATCAAACGTCTACTTCTAAAGCAATCCACATCTCAGTAAAAAAGATAGTAGATAATAGACAATGCCTTGATGTTGAAGAAAATTAAAATAAGATTGAGAATAAGAAAACACAGATTTTAGAGTGAAAAGAGCCTTGCAAAGAGTGAGGATTTTGTCTACAAACAAATTGCTTTAAACTAGTTGGTAATGATACTTATTAAGAACCTATATATAAATAACTGCTTATTTAAAAAAAAATTATTAGCCAGGCTCGGTGGCTTAGGCTGTAATCCCACGCCTTTGGGAGGCTGAGGTGAGTGGATTACCTGAACCCGCGGGTTCGAGACCCGCCTGGGCAGGCAAGACCTCATCTGTACAATAAAATCAAAAAATTAACCGGGCGTGGTAGTGCGTGCCTGTAATTCCGGCTACTCCGAAGGCTGAGGCGGAAGGATCGCCGGAGCCCAGCAGGTCGAGGCTGCGGTGGCCGGGAGCGGCCACTGCACTCCAGTCTGGGCGACAGAGTGAGACTCCAACTCAAAAACAAACAAACAAACAAACAAAAATTTATTAGTAATTTGTTGCTAACCAGAATCATTTTTTCCACATTCAGCTTTTATTTCTTTTATTTGAATTAGCCTCATAGTTTCTTCCCATATTCTCACCACAGGGAGGTGGGGGTAGGAGGGAGAGAGAGAGAGAAAATAGATTAGTGTATCTGTAATAAATTGTAGACAAAACAGAAGCTCGAACGTGCATACAATCTTTATTAGATCCAAAAAAGCATACACACACACACACACACACACACACACAGGTATCTCACACTGTCAGCTAAATAATTTTTGTCTTAGATTTAAAGGAATATAGACAATTGGTAGGAAAAAATTCTAAATAGTCTCTAAAGTTTGTATGTTTTACAAACTAAACCTTTCTTACACTCTGTGAGTTTTAGGGAACAATTTGAAATAACTCTAAAGATATTTAGCAAAATCCCTTCATTTAGTGAAAGGAGGAAACTATGAATCACCACCTGTGAAAATACACAGCTTTGCCTAAAATTATATCTTTTGCAAAATAAGAGAATTGACTTTTTTTTTTTTCAATTATTTGTCAGGCAGATGCTGGCAATTTTAATTAAGCTGCTATGGTAAAACAGGTGTCAAAAAATATGCCCAAATCCAATTGACTCCTTTTTTGCTCACCCCAGAGTAAAAATAAATAAATAAATGAATCCAGTTTACTTCATAGAAGACAGTTTTGGGATCTGACAAGAATGAGTAGTCACTTCTAGCTTTACCTACATTCCTAGATTCACTCAATTATTGAATGAATCAAGGAAAGTGGAGTGAATAAAATTCAAGTCATATAAATAATTTTTAGAAAAAAACTCACAGCACATGTATATTCATTCATCCTAAAAAGCTATGTTTTCAAATTGTAAAACAAAAACATTTATCTATTTTGTACCAAATAGAATTAAATTTCCATGATGTCATTTGAGTAGCCTTAAATAGCATAAGTTGCTCCTCTAAAAAAGTTATACATACACAGAAACACTAACCCATAGAAATAATGAAGTGAAGATAATAAATAGTAAGATATTAAAGTTATTAGGATCATCTAAAGTGTATGTCTGTTCTAGACAGGAAAGACTTGTTAAATGCCATTATTGAATACTATCTGCATAATATTTCTAATTTGAAGTAATATTAAAACAGCACTCTAGTGAGAAGAAACCAGCACTGTGTGAGGAAAAGAACAGTGCACGGGGAATAACTTCTTCTCCAGGCTCTGCCACTAAAATGGCGGCATAAACTTGAAACTTAACCTTTCTTGACTTTCTCCAGCTTTCTCAACAGAAAAATGCTGTGATTGAGCTAGGAACTCTCCAATGTCCCCGCTAATTTTGAGAGACAGATTATACCATGACTGTGTTCCTCAAGGTACCTCTTCATTATAAGAATCATTTGAGGACATTATCAAACATGGAGACTTGTAGGTCCCACCTGCAAGCCTTATGAATCAGAATCTTCTAGGAATTGCTGTTTTTAACAAGCTCCCCAGGTTTTTTTAATCAGATAAGTTTGGAAAAGATAAATGATAAAATAAAAGAAAAATGTCTTCAAGAAACCCTTGCTGATAACTTTAGGCAGGCGAATGCAAACTCCACTTTCTGCTTCCCTGATACCATGTTCCACCTGTGATATGTCGCTATACATAGGGATGCAATAATTTATTTACATCATTATATTTCTAGAGGAAAGAGATCCAACCAAGTGTATGGATCTCAGTAAATGTTGTGAATGAAGGCCTGAATGAATGAATAAATGAATGGACTGTAGTTTGGAATCCTGTGTTAGTCAGAAGTCAGTATGTGACTTTCAACATATTACGAAAATCCCTTAGCCACTATTTTATCAACCATAAAAGTAAGAATGCTAGCCGGGCTCGGTGGCTCAGCCTGTAATCCCGCGCCTTTGGGAGGCTGAGGTGAGTGGATTGCCTGAGTCCTCGGGTTCGAGACCCGCCTGGGCAGCAAGACCTCATCTCTACAATAAATCAAAAAATCAGCCAGGCATGGTAGCGTGCGCCTGTAATTCCGGCTACTCGGAAGGCTGAGGTGGAAGGATCGCTGGAGCCCAGTAGGTAGAGGCTGCGGTGGCCGGGAGCGGGCTACAGCGTGAGACTCCAACTCAAAAAAAAAAAAAAAAAAGTAAGAATGCTGGCATTTGTGGGTTTTTTTTAGTATTGAATTAGACATTTATTTGTGAGTAAACCTGCTGCATACCACGTGGTCATTTATTTGCATTAAAATTATTGTATTTGTAAAAAACTAAGGTGACACCTGAGTATGAAAATGCCCATTAGGAAGTGTAAATAATCAGAAATAGAATGGCATGTTACTGATTTGTTTTGCTGTTTTCTGTTTGTTTGGGGAAAAAACATAAGAAGTGTTTAAGTCAAGGGACTATGAGAATATTTAAAGGATATTTAAAATGTTTGAGCACTTTAGTTAAAATAAAAATTGAAGGAGTAAACTATCTTCATAAAGATCATTAAGAACTTAAGGATATTTATCTTCAAGTTTAAGAGTTTTTTCCCACCATCTTCCATTTTCAAAGGAAACATGGGATACACCTTTGAATGAAATGGATTTTTATTAAACTTTGTGCTTCAGTTATTAGGGACTTTCTAATTTGAGTAAAATATTTTGTAATTTAAGAGGTTTTGTTTGTTTGTTTGTTTGTTTGTTTTACTACCAAACAAACTCATATTCTCTCTCTCTCTTTTTTTTTAAGGGAAGTACATAACATTTATCCTGGACCCTTTCCAGTACCAGTTAGTGACAAAAAATCACAAACAATTAAGCTTTCGAGCATTTAGTAATCAGTTATTAACAAAAACATTTTCTATCACTCAATTGTCAAACAATGATGACATGAACGATGAGCTTCATGGCTGCTATCAACTTTTGCGAGGCAAGTCTTTGGACATACTCCTGGAAAGCATGATACAGAATCTGAAACAAGTATTTGAACCCAAACTGTTAAAAACCACAAGTTGGGACAAGGCACAATTGTGTACATTCTGCAGCTCTATAATATTTGAGATCACATTTACAACCATATATGGAAAAGTTCTTGCTGGAGACAGGAAAAAATTTATTAGTGAACTAAGAGACGATTTTTTAACATTTGATGACAAATTTTCATATTTAATATCCAACGTACCCATTGAACTTCTAGGAAATGTCAAGTCTATTCGAGAGAAAATCATAAAACGCTTGTCATCAGAAAACTTATCCAAGATGCAAGGATGGTCAGAAATTGTTCAAATGAGGCAAAATATCCTGGAGAAATACTATGCGCGTGAAGACTTTGAGATAGGAGGTAAGAAACTTCTGAATGAGTACTTGCCTAAAATAAAATAATTTACAATAGACCTTTGAAATAAAAAGACAAAATGGCGACCTTGAAAATTTTTATGCTCTTTCTAATTGGCTAATGATAAAATGTTTTACTCTGAAACAACCCTCTGTGATAATTGATTTTTTTTTTTTTTTTTTTTTTTTTTGCTGAGGTGGTAAAGCAAGATACTTAATGGTGATAATGAGAAAGAGTATAACTAAGCTGCATTTACTCCTCTTATCTCATTCTCCACCTCCCCGCCACCCCCACACACATTACATTTTAAACTATTCTCATTAAGCAGAAAATTAGACTTCAGAAGCCTATTGGTTCTCATTAGCATGCACTGATCCTTGGCTGGGTCTGTGTCCTAACATCTTTTAATTAGCACACTGCAAATCTAATCAGTGTAATAAACGCTATTAATCTTCCTTTTCACTTATTTTCTCCCAGCACATCATTTAGGCTTTCTCTGGGCCTCTGTGGCAAACACTATTCCAACTATGTTCTGGGCAATGTATTATCTTCTGCGGCACCCAGAAGCTATGGCAGCGGTGCGTGACGAAATTGACCGTTTGCTGCAGTCAACAGGTCAAAAGAAAGGGTCTGGATTTCCCATCTACCTCACCAGAGAACAATTGGACAGCCTGCTCTGCCTAGGTAATTTATTTTTATCTGTTATGAAGAAAAGAAGGTACCTTTCTGCAAACTCAGTTTATCACTCATAGCTGTTTACCAAGAGGTAGAGGACACAGCTGCCTAATTGACATAATAACACCCATTTACATCAATTATAAATTATGTAGTTTATAACCGTAGATCCTCTCATTGCATGTAAACATTAAGGCCTAGGTAATTAACTATGCAAGGTATGCAAAAGGCTAAACCAAAGCTTTGCAATTATTTGAAAAAAAGTTTATGCCTATTAAGTCATTTGATTCTGAGCATCTGTTGGTGTGCTAATGCTTTCCAAACACTGCTGCACTATCTTGTCAAGAATTATTTGGGGATTGAAAAAGAAAGTACGTCAGAAAGACACCTTATGTGCAAAATGTATTTATTTTTCTTAAAACGGTTGTCTATATTTTCAGGCACAGGTTGCGTGATTCTTAAAAATGTAGAAAAATGCTTTCCATTGGAAGTCATGACTTGTAAACACAATCAAAAAAACAAAAACAAAAAAAAGGAGGAAAAAAGAAACAAAAATAAGAGAAGGAAGAGAGGGGAAGAAAGAAGAGAGGAAGAAATAAAAAGAAAAGAAAAAAACTACAACTAATTCTTGTGAAATGTTGATATTTTATAAAATAATTACTGACTCATGAAATATACATGGTCAGTATTTCAAATATGTTTGAGGTTGGTAGTGACTAATAATGTTTTTCTATTTCTACGTAGGCCTGTACCTCAGTGACAGGAGCTTTTGATCACAGCTGATTGCATTCCTCTTTACTGATTTTGAGAAGGCTCTTCCAAAAGAGCCTTCTCCCAAAGTTAAATTCCATATCAATGAGTTATTCTCTATTACTTTTGCTTAACATTTCATCCAGCAGTGTCATTTAGGGTACAATATTCCAAGTACCTTTAGATAAATGTAGAAATAAGTGTTTATATATTTGTTTCTTCACTTCTTTGACAATGTAGGCAAGTATTTTAGCCTATGATGGCTTCAGTTTTTTTTTTTAATTTTTAAAATATGATCCAGGTTCTTAGATGGGAAATTTTTGGAATAAAGGCCTTCCCAGTCTTGGTCAGTGTTGACCACCAGTGGGCACTGTAAAGAATTCCCCAAATGTTCTAGAAATTGTTCCCACTGATCAAGCTGAGACCTGCGCAACACCAGAAAGCATGTCTTGTACTGGCAGTCAATTAGGAAAAATGTGTCACCTTGTAGTGTGCTGTCTTTAGCATATGCTTTCAAAGTAATTTTAAATTTTCTTCGAGGAAGAATATATTCCAACATTATTAAAATACAAATTTTCTTTTATTTTTCTTTGCAGAATTATTGGGGGACAAATACAAAAAAAGTCAAATTTTGGGTTGTTACCTCCACTTGGATACACAGTATTTTCTATGTAAAAGATTTATAATTTCTTTGAAGATCTAGGTTTCATTTTCCATATATTCAAGTAATTTCCATTGTATTTTATGAATAAGATGTGCACACTGGGAAGTAATGCAAATAAACTTCAAGGAATATGTGTTTGTATTCTATGCACAGTTATTAGTCTTAAATTTTGTTGTAATTCATCAACTCTGTTTTTACTCTCAATTTCTTGCTGTTGAAAAACAAAGATAATTTTAAAATTTCAGTACCAAGGCAGAAACATTTAAATGTTTTAGATCAGAAGAAATAATCTGAATCCATTTACACTTATAGCTAGAGCTAGAGATCCCTCTGCCTTGGATCCCTCATAAATGTACAGCTTTCCTATGATTAACAAATGAATAACAGCAACCAAAATTCCAAGCAAATTTAATAGCCACCTGGATAAAGGTGGTACTCTCAGAAAAGAAGGTTCATCATGACCTCGGTTACCAGCAGGGGCCAGTGTAATTCATTACCAGAATTTAAAATGATGGAGCCAATTGTGATCTAGAAAATAGTGTGATTTTTTTCTTTCACAATGCAGATCAAAGTTTTATATGAATTAGTTACACAACATATAACCTCTGTAGATAGTCATAGCTCAATTGTATTTCTCTACAGTAAAAGAGCATGAACTGTATGTGCAAAGGCAAGATTTACACAATATTTGCAATGTACCACATGGCATGAGTATATGTGCTTACCCTTCTCATCTTAAGGAAAGAGTTCTACATATTTTAAATACAATTATCTTTTTTAACTCTTGAATTTCTATTATTATAAGAAACAAGATCACAATGATAAAATGAACTTACATTTTTTACCAGGAAGGATAATTTTGGTACTGTTGCAGCAAAGGAAAAGGAGAATCTTCTTTTGACAGAGATTTTACATGTCAGCACACTTTGATTATAAAACAGGGTTGAAAAGAAACGTTAGACTGCCATAGTCTGTTTAAGTAATTCACAGCAATCATCTGTTGTAAGAGATTATGATAGATGTGTGCTTTTTTCCAATGCTCTTGAGAATCTTTCTTTAAAGCCATTCTCCTCTTTTATTTTAGACAAAGAAAAGATGACTTTATTTTTTATATATCTTATTAAATAAATATTCTGCTTATCTTGGCCTCATTAAAATTATTTGTTTATTAATGTTTAGTAATGATCTCTACAATTAAATTTAAATAAAAATTTAAAATAACTTAGTAGAGATAATAAGGTTCGGGTGACTATTGCTTGGGACCTGAATCTCAACAGGAAAAGCTGCTGATAGAATGGAAGTTTGAGAAACTCCAAGAGAAAAGTAAAAATTTTTCAGTTATCCTAGAAAAAAGAAAAACTGGGGTGTAAGCAGGATTTAGAACTGCAGATTTTAGATGTGAGAAATAGAAAAGTATAAAAAATAATTTAGGGAGACAAGGAAAAGAAAAAAGTTAATGCAAGGAGAAAAAACTCTCAAAACTGGAATTTTGATAAATCAATAGTAAACAATTTTGATGAATACTATGTCTTATGGTTTAGCTGAATAACATAAATAAATAACTTCATCTAGTGGCACAGAGTTTAGGCTTAATAAATGTTATCTATTTTTTATCACCAAAATGATATTTAACCTCTATGACATCTCTATGAAGTCTATATTGTTTTCTTCATTTTCAATTGTTTATGAACATCATACTCAAGTCAACCTTACCCCACAGAAATGTTCTTTCTAGGTATCATTCATGAAAAGAACAATACTGAAGTAAGAGTGTAAGGCAAGATGTATTGCTCCTGAATGGCTCAGGTGAATAGCAGCACCTAATTTTGTTCAATACATATCCTGAAATTGAGGAAGGTTGCAAACATGGTCCAAGTGAGGGATATTGTAATGAAAGGAGATATCCTAAAACTAGAGTTGGGCAAAATCTGTAATACTTTTTTAAAAGAGAATATTATAGATTATAATAACTCTAGAAATATCAATTTGGAGTGAGTCCCCACCAAATTCTATTAAAGATTTGAAGCTGATTGTGAGTAGTTGGAGGGGGTAGTGAATCAGAAAAGAAAAAAATACAGGACCATGTTACATCTACTAATGATTTCAATATTTCAAAACAATTTTATGGATTTATATTGTTTAATGTTGTCTTCACCAAGTTACACTGGAGGACTGTGGCAGCTTTTATTTTGTCATTATTTTCAGAGATGAGAAAATTTTCAGGGTACTAAATAACTTGCCTAAGATGACAAAGATGATAAAAGAGAAAAATAGGACTTTAACTTGGGTATTCTTACCAAATCCACACTTTTCCCCTCAGATCTATTAACAGTCTTTGGGATTCTTTATCATTGTCCTAATTGAGAGAGGAAAGGAATTCTTTATATCTCAATTCTAGAAAGCCAGCCATGATATCATATCCAGGTCAGAAAATGTGGGACAGATGATGAAATATTTGACTGAATTTTTAACTTCAAGCTAATATGTTATGAATGATAATGTTAATCATTATTATTTGACTATGTGCCAGGCACTGTATTAAGAGTCTTATGCATAATAAGTTATTGAATTCTCAGATATTATATTCATTTAATTACTGGATAACAAGGTTCAGAAAGACTACTTAACCAACTCAAATCAGACAATCGTGGCAGAGTCAGAAACAGCTGCCAGGTCTGACTGACCTCAGTGCCTACTCATAACAACTGTCACTTCAGACAAAAATGCTCTAGAAATGAGCCAGAGACCTTGGCCACTACTTTATACAAGCTAGTTACTACTGATTCACAAATGCAGTTGGATTTTGAGAGTTGAGGAGAGGACGAGACGTTCACATTAGAAGCTTGTGGGGTTTTTTAAAATAAAAATAATCTTTAAAAATTTTAGAATAGTTTTAGATTTACAGAAAAATTGCAAAGATAGTAGAGAGGGTTCCTATGTAACCCTCACATATTCTCCCTTATTAACATCTTACATTATCACAGTACATGTGTCACACTTATGGGTGTTATTTTGAAAAAGATCATCCAATATTATACAATAATATCTGAAAATTTAAACATTTACGTAATGCAGACAAGAGTGAAGTTCAACAACATCCTCTCTTCTCATGGGGGAATATAGAGGAGATATAGCTTCATGTAACTTGTAACTGGAGAAGGGAAGAGAAGCATCTTACACAAAAAGGTACATCAGAAACTCAGGGATGTAGTATGATTTTTATATGTAATATAAGAAAACTGGCTAAAAAGTGAAAAATACTGATTTTAGAGTTCATTAAATTTTCAGCTCAGCACAAAGTTAAGAGGTTAAATAATATAACGAACAACTGAAACAGAATCTGAAAGGATTGAAAAAGAACTTTAATGGAAATGCAAATTATTGTATTTAGATCTAAAATTTAGCTGTGTAAGAATAGGATGAGAAATGTGTGGATCAGCAGAAAAGGGATTAAAGCACAGATTCTCAGCCTTGATTGTTCCTTGGAATCATCTGGGGGGCTTTACAAACTACCCAGACCTGGTCCCATCCTAGAGACTCTGATTTTATTGTTTGGGGGTGCAGGCTGTTGGCTTTAAAAGTTCCTCAGTTGATT